CTGGTGTAGTCTGAACTCCGCGTGTGTAGCCGCACGACCTTTCGTCTACTTTGGTTCAGCTAATACATTTGGCTGATGGAATATTTTTTTTATACAAATGCTTTGATGTAAACATTTATCCTTTACATTTTTCATATTTCTGTAATTCTGGACTGAATAAACTCGATATAAATATGAAAAAGTTCATTAATCCCAATAACCACAATATATCTAATACGACTTTCTGAACAAGACAGTTGTTTGCAAAATGGGTAATTAATGGTTATCAAACTACGAAAAATAATGTTTATCGGCACTTACTAATAAATGAATTAGAACTTGTCATCAGAGTTAGAGCTCTTGGAGTTTTTCATTATTTAAAGCCCCGGCCGCTCTCCTTTTCCTTGATTCGTGACAAGCCTTCAGGTTGTAATAAGCAGGCGAGTGAGAGTTGTCGCCTAATTTTCGAAGGCTATGTTTAGTCACTCCAACGGACACTGCGTTACAGAATACTAGTAGATAAATGTTCAGCAATAAGGAAGGCTCTAAAGGTAAAGCTAAACATTCGTATAATCATACTGCAAAATTTAGATGTATGTGCTTGATTTTACGTATATATTCATTATTCTAACGATTTAATTTTGGTTAGAAAAAAAGCATCAGACTGACAAAAGTATCGGATATAAAAATAACGCAGTTGTTTTTTTTAGTTATTTTTATTACAAAAGCTGATCATGGAAAGTACTCGGGAAATACACAGATGCACAATACATGCATATATATATATATATATATATATATATATATATATATATATATATATATATATATATATATATATATACACGTAGATATATATAGACATACACACACACACGCACGCGCACGCCAGGCGGACTATCCATCGAGCTCCGGACGGGCGGCCATCCCTGGTGGGTGCAAACACGAGATGCCACTTGGAGAGTCGCCGTCGACTTTTGACTGGGGCGACGTCGGGGAAGGTTGTATAGGTGCCACCCACCCTAAGGCACTGCCCAAGATATAATGGGCGGTTAGTTTGGCTCCAAGAAAGGTTCACTGTTTGCGAGAACAAAACTGAGTCCACTTGAAGTAGAGGTGACCGCCCTTTCAGAAGTAAGACCTAGAAAAGTCTTACACATTTATATATATATATATATATATATATATATATATATATATATATATATATATATATATATATATATATATATATATATATATATATATATATATATATATATATATATATATATACATGTATACTCACACACACACACACACACACACACACATGTATATATATGCACATAAACATACACACACACAGATATATACATATATATATATATATACATATATATATATATATATATATATATATATATATATATATATATATATATACATATATATACATATATATATATATATATATATATATATATATATATATATATATATATATACATATACATATATATGTATGTGCGTGTATGTGTGTGTAAAGGGTATATATATTGACACCTTATCCATTGGTGAACAGGAGTAGTAATAGCTTGATAGCTTGAGACTCTTTATTGACTAAGAGTACAGCACACAGAGATATGAATACACACGTGACAATCTTGGGATAAGCGCGGTCAGCCTGGTGAGGGGGGGCGTAGTGACCTGAGCCCTCCCGACCTTCAGGCCGCAGGCCGGGCGACCTAACTTGACAAGCGCTGGCGACTGACTCTCGTTGACCGGGTCAAACGCGGTCCTTAAATATCCGAAGGAGGGGCAGCGTCGAGCGTGGGCACGCCACTGGGACGATGGTACTTTGTTGGGCAGCGTGGTGTGGGCGCCACGTAGCCAGACTTGGCGTGGGGGCACCCACGTGGCTAACGAACCCACGTGGCCTATACGTGCTTAATACACAGTATATTGTTCGGCCACCTACTAGCGCCTCGTCCTCGAAGTGCCTTAGACTTGCCTCAAGGGTGACTCAACTTGGCTGTTCCTAACTTGCTAGTCCTCGATCTCGCGTGCTGTGTTCCTCGTGCATCTTCGTGGCTGCTCGTCCTTGTCGTCATCTTCGTCCTGGTCCATGGTAAATCCGTCCGTCCTCGACCTCAACACGTCCTCGAAGGTCTCGCACAGGTCCTCCTTGACTTCGGATTCGCCCAGACTTCCTCGTAGTCCTCGTCCAGGTCTAACTCGGCGGCTTACTCACCCAATGTACGTCTCGCAGATCTCGTCCAGGTCCTTCTCGGCTGTGCGCTCGTACAGACGTCCTCGTAATCTTCGTCAGGATCTACTGGCGTCCGGCAGGAAGCGTCCTCTTCGACATCGCAGGGCGCTGATACCTGCGCTGACGAGCTCCTGGAGTTTGGATCTGCGGCGTCAAGGCAGGCGGCGCCCGTCCACAGCACCAAGGGGCGACTGGTATCTGCGCTGGCGAATTCCTGGTCCTTCGCTGGACCTACGGGCGTCCTGGCAGGCGGCGCCCTTTCACATTCTG